CGGACCAAGTGGCCACAGTCAAGCTCCACTGGCCACCTGACCTCGGAGGCACAGTCCCCCAAAGCGACTGCCGGGCGCTGGGGCTCAGGCAGGGTACGAGGTTCCCCAGCAACGAGGGCATGGTGGTATATGACGTGGAAAAGTTTGGGGAGTTCCACGCTGACGACAGGATCCCGAAACCCTCCTACGTGGGGGAAGCGTGGTGCGGAATGGACAGGGCCCCCTCCCTGCTCCAGTTTCGTCGGATCTCTACCGCAATTACCGATATCTACAAACTGCAGCAGGCCCCTAGCGACCTGGTCGGGGCCCCCCTGGACGTCATCACCGACCTCCTCACCTTCCGCACGGCCGACAAGAAGGACAAGACGTTGGCCAACAGCGTGAGCAACACCTCACACAGCGGACAAGCTCTACTTGCGCGCGCCAGGTCCACCCTTGAGGAGCGCTTTCCTGGCTCTGCCCAGACAGCAGCGGGCAGCAGCACAGCGGCGCCCAACGCCCCCGCGAGGCCCCTGGCTACCATCCCCTTCTCGGACCCAGTAGTGGATACAGCTGTCGGACAAGTCTTCCAGCGTGCCAGGGAACTACCACCGCTCACGGCCCTCGAGGATGGAGCCAGGCGTCACTGCCTCAAACGCGACGCCGCGAAGGCCCTTACCGCATCCACCTTGCACCACGTAACAATCGTTCATGGGCCCCCCGGCACAGGAGGAGGGAGGAGGGAGGAGGGGGGAGGGGGGAGGGGGGAGGGGAGGGAGGAGGGAGGAGGGAGGAGGGAGGAAGGAGGGAGGAGTGAAGGAGGAGGGCGTCCTTTGGAGGAGGGAGAGCGTATCGACTCCTTGCTGCGCGGAGCCGGAGGGGTCTCGGGCAGGCACCGCGTCGAGGAGGCGCCGCCCGCGTGGGCGGAGCTCCCGCCGGCCAAGCTGACGCTGTGCGCCGCTCGGCATAGATCGAAGGGTACACGGACGTCCCCTTCGTCGCAGTGCTCACGGTTCGGTCCGTTGCGTTGCGTCGCGGTCGGTTGCGTTCGGTCGGTTCGGTTCGGTTGGCTATGGCGTCGTTGCCACGTCGCTGCGCCCTTCCGGGCTGCTTTCGGCCTGTCGATTTCGGTCGGTTTTGATTTCGCTGCTGGTGCGGTCGGTGTTCGGTTTTGCCGTCACCCGTGCACGGCCTTGGGCACCCGGGCCCCACCCTGCGGCGCGCAAAAAGGCGCGACGGATGTTTTTTGATTCGTTTCGGGCTCCCGGGGCCCTCGCGAGGCCCCAGGATTTCAGAAAGTGACTCAGGATGAAAAGCCAGTCTTGGGGAAGGGGTCCAGACCCCCAGGGGGTTCACGTGGTGAAAACCTTGCGACGTAGGGGTCGGGGGTCTGGACTCGGGGAAAGGGGATTTGCGACATCTGTTGCATGCAGCTGGTTGCGTCTCCGCCGCCAGGCGCTTTCCTCGATACATTGGCGCCTCTCGGCGCTAGGAGGCGCTGGGAAAACCATCTACGTCAGCTGATTCGCCAGTCCCCCTTCACCCCCCTTTCTTGAAGGTCTCGCGACCCTCGAGATGTCTAATCATACGGTTCCTTTTATGCGTTGTCGTTACACTCTATGTTCGTCTTTCTCAATGGTGGGACATTCTAGTTTCGTTCCAGTTTCGTTCTGGTGGGGTTCTACTTTTGTTCTAGATTCGATCCAGCGTAATCTCAGTCTCGCTCGAGTTTCGTTTCAGGCTCGGTCCAGTCTCGCTCCAGTTTCGTCTTGCCGTCGTATAAGCGCCTGTCCAGCTCTGTCCCAGGACGAAGCCAGAACGAAGCTGGAACGAACATCAAGAGTCAAGAGCGCACGTCATTAAATGGTCCCGTGGCCTTGCCTCTCCTTTCGTCTGACCCGAGCATGGTCGGCCTGCGCGCGCAGAGGGGGTGGCATGCGAGGGGCGCCGCCTTCTACGAGGGCGGGGGCGCTTCTGAGCAGGCAGGGGCACTGCCCGAAGCCCCCCGGGCCTCCAGGCGGCCCTGGTAGCATCTGGGCCTCCCAGACGGTGTCGGAGTAGATGGGGCCGGTGGAACGCGCCGCACCGCCGATGCATCGCCGACGTCGCCGATGCATTGGAGATGCATCGTCGATGCATCGACGATGCGGCGCGATCCTCCGACCCCATCTGCTCGGACCCCATGCGGGAGGCCTCCATAGAAGCATCTGGGCTTTTCTAAGGTTCGGCCTCCACCCCGTTCGGTTGGGGTTGCGGATCTGCCTCGCGATCGCTTTCCACTTGTCCGTGATGCGGACGGCACGCGCACGAACTCACTCCCCTGCTGCTTTCTGGGGAGCCCCCCCCCTGCCTTCTCAGCAGGCTGCACCCCTCGCGCCTTTCCCCCGCGTGCGCGCCGCCAACTTCCCAGCTCCAGGGCGGGTTCCAGCAGCTGTGCCGCGTCGAGAGCGGTCCAGGGGCTTCAGAGCCTTCAAGCGACCCCCAGGTTGGGGTAGGTAACGAGAGCACAGATGCAGGGGGTCCGAAGGAGAGCTGGCATGACAGGGCAATCTCTCTTTCGCCTCATGTAGTTACATAGTTGCGGTGCTCTTCGGACGCCCAGGATGTAAATCCCAATCAGTGCTGGCAAATGTGGTGCTTCACTTGCTTAGCAAGGGATCGGAATTCGCTGCCGCGATGGATCGGTGTCGCCCTGGTGCCCTAGGGCTTGTGACCCCGCTTGTCGCGATGTCGGGGTGCCGCCCTGGTTCCCTGTGTCCTGTGCTCTATGGCTGGTGCTTCATGATGCCCGAGTTGCCGATTCTAGTTGCAGCCCTGATGCCATATGCCTCGTGCCCTCTGCCTGGTGCCCCCACATGTCGCGATATCTGGGTGCCGCCCTCGTGCCCAATGGCGGATGCCCTAAGGCCAGTGCCCATATGGCTGATGCCCCAGGGCCGATGCCTTATGGTGGGTGCCCCATGGCTGATGCCAGGTGGTGCCCGATTACCGCAGCTTCTGGTTGCGCCCTGGTGCGCCATGGCTGGATCGGTTGCCGCCCTGGTTGCCGCGCTGGTTGCCGCCCTGGCACCAGCGAGAGTGCGCACCGAGAGCTCATGAGCATTTGGTTTCGGGTTCACGTTGGCAATCATGTTCACAATCATATGCTGGAAGTTGGTTGACATCTGATGGCCTTTGATCCATCCCGCCACTGTGCCTGGATTGAGGGCAGGTGTGCATGCTGCTTCGTTCTCAGATGACGGCGCGGCGGGGCTAGTTGCCTTCGGCCTATCCTTCACCGTGCTTGGGTCTTGTACCAGAAAGCTCCAGATGTAAATGATCCCGTATCTTTGCTCCACTTTATTGTACCGCTGCCGCTTTTGGTTCGCAAGGTGTATTACACAGCAGGTACCTCATTGGTTGGAAGACTCGTGGGGAAGGGTCAGATCTTCATCATTACCGCTCAGACCGATGGATGCTTGGGAGGGGATCGGCCTTTCGGTCAACCCTTCCCTCACGCAGATTATCAGCAATGTCTTCTCTAATCTCTTGTGTGCGACAACTCGTGCGCGGCGGGGCTCCATTTCTGCCCTGATGGCGACCACCCCGCCTCGTGCGGGCGTGCCGCATTCTGTGGCGGATGCTGGTGACTCCTCCGCCTCGTGGGCTTTAGCGCACAGCTTCGATGAGGTTGTCGACCCTGACAGGAACAATGCCTCCATTGTATGCTTTTACCCGGGCACCCGGGCACTTTCAATCTGTCTGTGAACGTGATCGGCTTGACACCTACTCACAATGCCTTCGGCACTTCGAACTTATACGCCATTCCCAACATAGGGACCATTGACCACGGAATTCTCGACCCCCTCGTTCACCGCTTGCGGGGGGAACCCCTGCAGGCGCCAGCCACAGTGGACAGATACTCTCCCAGGGTGTTCATCGCTTGACCGCTTGCCGGCCGTGCGGGGGGGAGCCTCTGCAGGCGCTGATCCCCACGGACCGCCCAACACCCAAGACGCCCGATTCCACGGAGGATTCCTGCAAACGCCAAACCAATTTCGGCCGTGCACCTCAGGGACATCCTATTCCCCTCGGTCTTCCGACAATGTTGGGTCCTCGTGGTTCCACTGGGCGTTCGGGTCGCTCACTTCGCGTGTTCGAAGATTTGCGAGCTATTGGGTCACGGCGAACGGTTCCCGAACGTTGTTTCGGCCACACTCGTTTTACCTCTGCCTCTCGACCCCGTTCGGCCAGCCCCGAGTTTAACCGTCGATGGTTTCCACAGGCCGATTATTATACTTCGGCAGCACAGGGCGCTCACAGTCGCAGTCCCTCCACCAGGGGCCGCCGCAAATCGGTGGACCTAACATCCTTGTCAACTATGCCACAACACCATGCGTTTGAGCTGAGAGACCATGTTGAAACAGTTGCAGCGCACAGTTGTCAGCCGTGCACAGATCTATCGCCGCCGCTGCTTCCGATGTGGCAGTGTTGCGATCGGATCTGACCAAGAGGCTGCAGGATATCGTCGAGGCCGTCCATCGCGGCCGCAAGGCCGTTGCTCAGGTAATCGCCCGCGTCGACGAATCCTCATTTTTGCAGGTCAGGACCGTGTCGGACTCACCTTTGTGAAGTCTGACCTCCAGCACCTCGGGGCTCGCATCCTCGCGGTGCCAGATCACGATGACTCACGAGTTCGGCTCCTCCATGAAGAGGCACGGGCGCTGTCGCTGGCCACCTCAGGCACAGAGCAAGGCCATCCACGGACACCTACAAGAGCTTCGAGACATGGTTCCACCCCAGGCCGCTGCGCGACGCACCGAGACCCGCGACGTCCAGCAGGACTTCTATTGCAAGCTTTGCCAGACATAGAGCGCTGTCAATCAACGCTTCAACGATCCCGCATCTCAGCCATGCCTGCGTTGTCCGCCAGAGTCTCCACGCTCGAACAGACCTTGACAGAGTTGCGTGTTGACTGGCCAGCTTGGCACAGCTTCGGTTGACAACCGCGCCGCCTTGGCAACTGAGGTTCTGACCTTGCGGGCGACGGTGGCCCGCGTGCGCAGGCAGTTTCGCAATGTTCTTTCCGAGAGAGGCGCGGGTAGCTGAGGTTCAGACCAGCTTGGCGACGCAAGCGCAGGGACCTCGCAATTTTCAATCTACAATTTCCGACCTAAGCTCTGACGTTGAACGACAGCGCTCTCGCATGACGAAGCGAGCCACAGAGATCTTCGCAGAGGTCGGGGGCCTCTCAAGACGTGTGGACCGGCCGCGACGGGGCCGTGGTGACATCGGCGACGCGGCGTCCGCGCGCGCCAGCGACGCTGCGCAGCACCGCGAGCGCCAGCCACCGTATAAACAGAGCACGTAAGCAAGGCGAAGTCTTATCTCCAGCCCTCACCGACTGCGCCGCCCGAGCTGCGGCACCAGGCGCCGCCGCGGACGAGCCGCGCGCTGATGGCGTGCGCGAGGCTGCGAGTTGCCGCGCTCATTCGCATGTCGCCCATGGTTCGACCGCCGCGCTTTCTCAGCGTGCTGTCGCCAGTTATCCCTTCGCGTTTCCGGCAGTGATCGTGGAGTCCGAACCGTCGGTGCCATGTCCTCCAAAGATCGCCCTTGCAGTGGAGTGGCGACGGAAACCAGGCGCGGCCTTCCGCGGGGCCTCTTGTAGCTCTGTCGCTGCCTACAGATGCGCTTGCGTCGCTGAGCATCTTGGCACGCAGCTGGAATATGTCCTTGACAGTGTTTTTTTTCGAGTCTGGTCTGTAAGCTTGCAGCTGCGCTCGCAGAGATTCCCTCGCTGAGTTGCGACAGGCGTGCAATTCATTGGGGGCGCGGAGCAACGACGTGGGCGCGTGCTGAGAGGGCGCCAGCTCTACTGGCTGACCCTGCGCTCTTATGGTAGCGAGGGCGCTGACGACGCCATTCGTGATATTGGACGCACCAACGCAATGCGCATGCGTTGCCGTGGCCCCAGGAATCTCGCATCAGACTGGGGCAGTTTTCCTGTTGCAGCTACGCGACGCACCGTCGCCTTCGATGCCGGAGTCTCTACTTCGTGCTCAGATGCGCCGCCGCTGGTTGATGCATGGCGATCTTGCTGTCCATGTCAGCGCGCCGAAGAACGCTCCAGAATGCCGCTGCGCATGGCTCCGCCAGCGAGTGAATGCCATTATCGGGGCTCCATCGACTTCAACGCAGTCTATGCGGTTTCCAAGAGCGTTCTAACGCCGCGGCGGCTAAGCCGTCAACGCGCCACTCGCGGGGGCAATGCTGCGTTGGTTTCAGCTAGGATAATTGCAGTGCAAGCTGATGCGTGCGGGATCGAGCACTCGCGCACCGTCGCGTCCTCCATCCGCCCCGGTCAAGCCCCGACTCAGTTCCCCGCGACCTACGACGGGGCCGCCCGCCAGTTTTCGCTGTGCGTTCGCAGCGATAGTATCTTGTCCATGCGGCGATCGTTGCGCTCGACCGCGCGTGCCGGGCTGCAGCTTCTACAGACGCGGCAATTGCTTCGAGGGCGACAAGTGCACGTGCCCACGCGTAAATTTAGCGAGACTCCACTGGAGTTTCAGCCGCCCGCGCAGCTTACTGCCACCGCGGGTCGGGGGGCCGCCGCCCCCGCGACCGCGGCCGCCACCCGCCCCGCAGACTGGGGGCGCGTGCCGACCCGCCCGCGACGACCGTCGTCGCCCGTCGGGTTCGTTCCCCCTCTCGCGATTCTCTCCGCAACTCTCGCGACTCCTGCCGCGGTTCTGATCGCGGTCGCTGCCCGTCCCGGGACTCGCGGCGTTCCTCCCAGCGCAGTCGATCCCCATCCAAGGATTTCCGCGGGCGCCCCCGCAACTGCAGCCAGTCGCGCTCGCCTGGGTTCAGCGGCCAATCCCCCGGCCCGCGCCGCGGCAGACAGCGTAGTTCGGCGCGCAGGTTCCAAGACATTGCGCGGGCTGCCAAGACGACCGAACGCAAGAGACCCGCCGTCTTCTGGGACCTCGACGACGCCGAGGGGTCGCCGAGGCTCGCGCCTGCGCGTTGACCGATGGCATGCGGCCATGCAGAGACCCGCCTAACCTGGGCGCCGCTTCGCGCGCCCCCGAGCGTCTGCCCGACAAGTGGTGGGAGCGAACCGACCGGGACTTGTTTCTGGCGCGCGACGAGGCGCTCGAGCTGGTCGACGCCATCCGACGCGACTTCGACTGCCGGGTGCCCGCGCGAGAGTCATCCTGGCGCGTCCTGCCGCGCCGCGTCGCGACAGAGACCGTGTTCGATTGCGGGCGCTCCTCCGAGAACTTGCATTTCTCTCGCGATCATGGGCGGTCGACAGTGGCTCGGCTCATCGCGGGCGCAGGCGACTCTGCCTGCGAGGAGGCGCAATCTCTTTCCAGAAGCGACGGTCGCAGATCGGAAATAGCCAGTGGTGGGCGCTCTGTGAATGAGCATATTCGTTGTCAGAAGCCCGTCTTCGAGCAGGATGGCAAAGCTTCGGCTTTGGAAGACAGCCCCCGGGAATTTTCGCTTGGCCGCCTCGACGAGGAAGACGACTTCGGCGCATTGTGGGCAAGGGCGGAACAATGTATCCTTACTTTGCCTGGCGTTCAGGCCCATCGTGTTTCTGTGCGCAAAGTCATGCCGCGCTTGGAGCCCGACAGCGTAGGTCTTATCCACGACCATGCCGCCGCGTTTTTTCCCGCGCGTTCCCGTCGCGTTATTGGTTCCGACACTAGTTTCTGGATTCACTTCCCCAGACATTTTGATTGCGAGATCTGTTCTCGCGCCGCCCCTTACCAGTGAACCGTGCAAACGACGGCGCGCGCCCGCCGCGGTTCCACGTCGACCACGCATGCATTGGCTGAGCGATCGGTGCATGCAGCGCGTCGTTTACGGTAGGAGGTCTTCGGGCAAAGTGAGACGGTCGAAATGTATTGGGCGAAGCGAGACTTGGGCGAAGTGGGCTACGCGAGTCGAGACTCGAGCGACGTGAGCTGGGCGAAGTGTGCCGGGCGAAGTGAGCCGTGCGGGAAGGGCCAGGCGAAATGAGCTGGGCGAAGCGTGCCAGACGAAACGGGCTCTGGCTAAGCGAGCCAGGCGAAACGAGCCTGAGGCGCACGGGGGTAAGCCAGATGTGGGCAGAGCGGGACTACTTTTTGTTGGGTTGCCCGAAAGCCTTTTGGGGACCTCCTGAGGCTTCCCAAGTTCCTCTTGGGTGCGTCGTTGGGTATATTTGGGGCGTCTTGGAGTCTGCTCGCGGGCTCAGGTGCCATCGTTGGGGGGTGGGAGGGACGCCATGGCGAGTTCCCGCTCTTGGGGTCCTCATTGGCCCTTCTCGGGGGCTCGGGGGAGATGTTGCTGCGGTCTTGTGGCCCGTCCACGAGGGCTCAAGTAAAGAGAAAACGATTATGTCCGTGTGGGCGGGTTTTCAAGGCTTCCAAAACGGCCCCAGAAACCCCCTATGGAGCCCGAGGTTGGAGCGTCGCGGCTATCGAAGGGCATGCGGGATATGTGGATTTCCAAGCAGGTTCTCGATTCCTTTGGAACAATCATGCGGCAAATCCTGGGAAGTGCGAAGAGCGCGACGCGTGGCGTGCGGGGCAGTTCACGAGTTGGGGGCCTGATTGGTGCCATCCGAGGCTTGTGTTCCCGTCGTTCTGGCTCAGGGGCTGCGGCCCGCAGGCCAGACGGGGGTTTAAGCACGACGTCGGATGCCACATTGTCCGAATATGGTCTTGTGCTCCATGATGCTGATGTTTGCCAGCTTCTGAATGGGTTAGTTGCGCAGGTCATCGCTCAGAGTCTGTGCCGTGTTCATTACGGAGGGTTCCAAAATGCTTGGGGATTCTCCATTCAGTGTCACCGTCATCGTGGCAGATTTCACAGGACTGGTACTTACGAGAGGGCGAGGAAGGACACCGCGCAATTGGTCGTTGGTACACTGCAGTGCTAATCTGGCCTGCCGTGCTGGTCTTGCACTCTGCGTGTGAACGAAGTGGCATGGGACCGCTACGCTGCCACAGCGGTATTTCCATGGGCGAGGAGGCAGAGACGCAGGGGAGGGCAATTTTCAAGGATAAGGCAGAGGATACGGCAGAGGAAGGAGATCTGCGTTGGCGGCGGGAAAGGTGTCGGAGCAGGAGGGGGTCGACCTCGGACGGCGCTCGCCGTTTTCTTGCTGTGCCGTGTGCTTCACGGGGGCCGTGGCACGTGCAGCCCTTTCGGTGTCCACAGTCCCGGCCGTGCTCTTGGGCAGTCCCCCTGTGGAGGGCTCCAGGGGAAATTGCTCCCGGGGTCTGAGCATTTTGGGAGCCTCTCGGGGTAGAGCGCTCACGCAGGTCCTGGCGTCATGATCCAACATCTTTTGTAGAGACGTCTGGCCAGCCCGTGTGGGTCCCGCGTCTGCGCCTGCTTACATCATGCAGCTTCTCTGGTCGAAACGGCACGCACTTGTCATTTTGTATATGTACATGCGGTTTGACATACACACGTGCGTGCACACAAACGGTATTTGAATTCCTGGTCGAATGTTGTATGCGCCAACTGTACCCCTTGCGCCCCCTCTCCCATAACCAGCCTGAACCGAAAGGTCTCCTCCTGCCCACTTCACGAACCGACAGCCATATTGTAACACTGGCCTGGCTACGCCAATCCTTGGCCCATGACTCGTGCAAATATCCTCTTGGCACGTCTCACGACTTTCATTCGGTTCCAGTTGAGTGAATCGGACTCCCATTTCGTCCATCGTCTATTTGGTTGTAGGGACCATAGTTCTGTTTTGTTTTGATTCGTTGACTGCCGAGCCGCTGCTGGCTCACGAGGTGGAGGAGGAGAAGGGAGTGTGGGGGGGGATGGGGAGGGGGAGATGAATGAAGAGGGGAAGAGCAGAGTGATGGGATTGAGGTAGAGCAAGAGGAGCAACATTGTGATAATGATGATGAGTGGTCTCAGGAACAGGGGCAGGAACAGGAGGAGTAGGAGGAGCAAGGTGATGATGATGATGATGAGGCTGATGATGATGATGATGATGATGATGATGATGATGATGGTGGTGGTGGTGATGATGATGATGGTGATGATTGTGGTGATGGTGGTGGTGGTGGTGGTGTGGTGATGATGAGGAGGATGAGCAGGATGAGCAGCATGAGCAGGAGGAGGAGGACGAGGAGGAGGAGGAGGAGGAGGAGGAGCAGTGGGAGCATTGGCAGCAGTAGTAGCAGCAGGAGGGTACCATCAGTATGTAGTAGGGGAGCGGGCAGGGACAACTACGGAGATGGTGCGGTCGGTTGGCCCTGGGGGTTGGCTTGCCCCATCAGGGGGGTTCGCTGTTGCCGAGGTGCATCGGCAACAGGGACGCGGACAGGCCCGCGACCCGCCGCGCGCCCCGCGTTGAGCACTGGGCACCCCTCCGCGTGGTCATCGTGTCTGACCGGCGCCCGTGGTCCGTGGCTCCAGGGCCCTGAGTCGACTACACGTAAGAGTGACCCTTCGCCGGAGTGACCCTTGGTGCGGGCACAATGGGGTCCCCCGATCACCGAATGCGATGCGATAGTAGCGTCTTGCGCGCCTGAGTTTGGTCCCCCCGCGGCCCCCGAAAAGCCGCGCACCAAAGGTCACTCTTACCCAGGGTCACTCTTGCGTGTAGTCGACTGAGAAGCGGCGCCAAATTCCCGTTGACCACTACGCGGGGATGAGCACCTGACCGTCAGCGGGGCTGGGACCGCCTCAAGCAGCTACGTCTCGGCCCGAGCTTCGAGTCGTTTCGCTGGTCTCAACCCCAGTCACTCGACTCGACATTTCCCCTGTGGTTCGAGATGCGGCCGTGGCTTTGGGATGATCATCTTGTGTGAGCGGAGGCGTGGCCGTCTTGCAACGTCAAACGCAGGCCGACCGCCCTGCGCTCTGTGCGCTGTCCACCTGTTGTGGCTTTCGACCTTGGAGTCGTTAGATAGGCACATACGCAACACTATGCAGTATGACTGTCGGGGCGACAGGCAAATTTTTCTACACGAATGCAGTAGTTACAATTTTGTCCTGATGCGGTGTGTCTCGGCTTGCTCCTTCACTGGTGCCTGGCGTCCGAGAGAGGGCGTCACAATTCGTTCAGTCTTACCATCCCTGGGGGCCCTCGACGCTCAAGGCGCTGACAGCACACATTCACTCATGCTTCCAAGAGGTTGTGTCTTGGCCCAGAGTGCCATTCTGAATGACGGGAGGACAGTGCTGATCCAAAAATGAGGCCCGCGGTGCAGCGGGAGCATCGTTCTGAAACACAGAGATGGGATTGTAAAACGCCATCAGAAAACAAAAAGCGTGTGTCCAATCTCCAATCCTGGGTGCTAGAGACAATATGCCGAGGGTGCGGGACATCTTCTGGACAGAGTCAGGGGAAAGAGGAGAGTAGTATTGGAGAGACCTTACGGCCTGTGTCGCCGACACTGGAAGATTACCCTCATGTTGCAGGAAATGTTGTGAGGTGTCCGGGAAGGTTGTAAGGCTTCCAAGAGGTTTGCGAGCGTGCTGCTACAGGGCTCCCAGAAGCCTTCGAAATAGAACCCAACGATGAGGAGCAGGAGCAGGAGCAGGAGAAGGAGGAGGAGGAGGAGGAGGAGGAGGAGGAGGAGGAGGAGGAGGAGGAGGAGGAGGAGGTCTTTTGGTGCCTTTTGTGATTTCCGCATGTCTCTGAGGGCTCACGGTTGCATCCTGAGGCTACGTCGGACCTTCTTGGACAGGGTCAGGGGAGACGGGGGACCAGTGTTCATACTGTGTAATTGTCCACGGGGCTGCCGCGGCCGGGGTGGAGCGCCCAGGCGCGTTGGCGGAGTGCCCTGGGGCCGGATTTGGAGCGCCCAGGGGTCGTGGCGGAGCGCCCAGGGGCCCCCGTGGACGGCCTGGGGCTTCGTGTGATCTCTCTGGCTCGGCCTCGTCCTCGCGTCCTGCTCGTCCTCCTCGGGCCCTCGTCCTGCCTGTAGCCTCGGTCTTCGCCCCCCCCCTCTCTTTCCGTTCGTCCTGTTCGTCCGAGGGGGGATCTTGGGGCCGAGGCCCTCCCCTGGCCTCCGAAGGAGGAGGAGGAGGAGGGAGAAGAGATTCCCGCCCCCCTCTGGGCCTCCCGACGCGCGCGCGCCGGTGCCGCCGCACGGAAGCAGTTCGCTGGCGCCGAGGCGGGAGAACGATGATGATCCAGGTGATGGGTGATTTTGATGGTGGTGATGTTGACCCTGACGATGACGACGATGGTGATGACGATGATGAGGATGACGATGATGATGAGGATGATGATGATGATGACGTTGATGATGATGATGATGATGATGGTGGTGGTGGTGGTGATGATGATGATGATGATGGTGGTGGTGGTGATGATGATGATGATCATGATGCTAATGACGATGGTGATGATGGTGATGATGGTGATGATGATGATGATGATGATGATGATGATGATGATGGCGATGTAGACGATGATGGTGATGATGACGATGACGATGACAGTGCGGATGATGATGCTAATGTTGATGCTGATGCTGGCCTTGTTGACGATGATGGTGTTGGCGACGATGACGATGATGATGAGGATGACGGTGATGCTGATGCAGGTGACAGTGATTACGTCTTAATGGCGATGATGATGATGATGATGATGATGATGATGATGATGATGAGGATGATGATGATGATGATGATGATGATGATGATGCTGATGATTATGATTATGCTGATGATGATGGTGGCGTGCACAGCGTCAACGGCGAGGATGATGGTCATGGGGGTGAGGATGACGAAGATGATGGTGATGATGATGATTATGAGGAAGGAGGAGGAGGAGGAGGAGGAGGAGGAGGAGGAGGAGGAGGCCACGCACGATGATGACTGGGAAGAGTATGTAGGATAATCGACATGCAGGAATATGAGGACGAGGACCAGGGTCGATAAGGATGTTGTGATGACGACGGTGATGACAAGTGTGGTGCTGGGAATGGTGATTCTGTATCAGCGTGACGGTTGTGTCCTGACACTTAACATCGTGCCACAACACCATTCTTGGGAAATCAACCATACGAAACCCCGAAACGGTGGCAAACTTTAAACGACGGATGTGCGCGGCGTTACGGCGAGAACCGCATTCGAGAAAGTCCCGCTCTCCATCCGTGAAGCGAACGATTAAGACGGGTGTGCGCGGCGCTTTGGCGAAAGTCACGTCCTGACGGCTGCTACAGTATTCAAAACAAGTTTGCGCAGCGTGACGGCGGGAGCCACGTTCTGAAAGCCTCCCGCCCTCCATCTTTGAAGCTGTTGCGAATCTCAAGTTTCGGGATCGTAAGTGGCAAGGAAGTCTCCGGCGAGGCGCCCGGCCCGCCCTACCGACACGCTTGCACGTTTTGGGGTGCGACAGGGTACCGATATTTTGAAGGGAATGGGATGGAGGAAGAGGAGGAGGAGAGGAGGAGGAGGAGGAGGAGGAGGAGGAGGAGGAGGAAGAGGAGGAGGAGGACGAGGAGGACGAGGAGGAGGAGGAGGAGGAAAAGGAGGAGGAGGAGGAGGAGAAGGAGGAGGAGGAAGAGGAGTGTCATCTCGTTGGCGGACGCCCGTTGCCCGATGCTCCGTGTTTGGGGCGCCGTGTTGAGCTCCGTGTTGAGCGCGCTTTTGAGGGCTGCGTGTTGCGCGTTGAGCGTGGACTTCTTCCGTTTCGGCTTGGCTTCGTATCCACGGCCCAGGCACGGTGGCGCGAGGCTGTTCGGGGGCCTCTCGGTGGCCTCTTGATGGGTTTATTGGGGCCTCTTGGAGATGTCTCTGGGGCCTGCTGAAAGCCTTTTCGGGCCCTCTTGGGGCCCAGTGGGCCTCTTAGGGACCCACAGACGGTCTCGGGGGCCATCTGGATGCGGAGGGCTTCAACCTCTGGTGTGTGTGCCCTTGTGGGCCCTGTTCGGAGCCGTCTTGGGTGCCTTTCGTTCCCGATGTGGAAGCATGATGTGTTTTACTGGGCCGTCTTGGGGCGATATTGAAGGCCTCGGCGGCCGTCTGGGATACTCCCAATACCGAGAAGGGATACTGCTAGTATCAGACAGAACGCATCTGTTTTCAACATGTTTTTTTGTTGTTGACCAGCTTTCAGGGTCCTCCAAGACAGCCCAAGAGGCCTTCCAGATAACCCCAGGACGGGCCTTCGGGGCAATCTTATTGATGCTTGCAGCCTGGATTCCCAACAACGTGTCTAGGGCCTCGGGAACAGTCACGACCCAAGCCCCAGAAGCGCCCAGGTGTGCGCAGAAGCTCGTGGACCCCCCGAGTGTGCCATAACGTTCGACATTGTGCCGTCCCCATTATTTCTTGGCTCAGGAAGTCGCTCCCGCTTCACCACTGGCGGAGCAGCACCTGCAGTTGTGTAACGTTCGAATGCGTCTGGTAGGCCCACGGCGCGCCAGCGCGGCCGTTCAAGGTCGAACGCCGCCAGTGGCCCAGAACCAGCCGACATCGAAAGATCTGCGCTCTCGGAACGGCGCGATCGTTCAAGGTCGAACGACCCGTGCGGTGTTACGTACCAGCGCCGACGTCCTTGAACCTGCCGTCGCCAGGGACTGGAGGGGATGGCGGCGCGCACAGGGGGGGGGGGCGGCGCGAGGGGTCGGCCTTTGAAAATGCAGGGCCTTCTCAGAAGGGCCCGGGGGCGGTTAAGAAGGCATCTCAGAAGCCGGAACGGCTTCTTCGCAGCCCCTCCCAGACTTCCCAGAAGCGCCGCGTCCTCGGGGGGCTCGTGCTCGGGTTCTGGTTTAGGCTCAGGCTTCGGCTCGGGCTGGGGGCCTTGCGTGGAGGACGCCCTTGACGAGGCGCAGCCGATGGAACATCGAACAACTTCGGAAGCCTTTGAAAACCTGTGGAGCACCGTCTGGGAACAACTCGGCGCCCAAGGGGGGTGCTTCAGTTCTCTCGTGGGCTGGAAGCAGATCTATATCCACAGCCTCGCGGGCCAGGCCCCTGGGCCGCGGCTCCATGGATACGGGGCGTTTTTTCGCGGATGTCACGCGCGCAACGTATCCAGGCGACCGCGTACAGCCAAGACGCTGGAATCAGTGCCGCTTTGGGCCCAGGAGGTGCTCTGGTTTTCGGACCGTTCCTTTGCCTACTCGTGGCCGAGGCTCGCCGTGTGGCCAGAAAAGAACCTCCGTTCATGAGTTCTCAGGACAGCACAACCCACCCCACCCCCAGCCACGACCTCCCTTCCCGACCAGGTGATCCAGGGGGGCCTGGTTGGGTGTGGTGGTGGTGGTGTTTTTTTCGCGCACAAGCCGCCCTCACCCCCAGCCAGGACAGCAGGCCGGGAGTTGGGGCCCTGGCTGGGGGTGGGGGTGGGCTGCGCTGTCCCCATATCCAGCCTTCCGCCTGGTAGCAAAGCGGCTGTATCCGCGGCATCGCGCTCCGGAATCCAGACCGCAAGGGCGTGGATATGGATATTCTGGGTTTATTCATAAGGGTGGGGGGGGTACCCCCCCCGACGGGGGTCAACCTCGCCTCGTGGTCGCGCCGCGCCGGGGGTCGGAGCGCCGTCGGCGCGCGGTGGCTGCCCGCGACGGGGGTCGATGTGGGGCTGTCGGCGAGGGGGACGCCCCCCCGACGCTTATCACGAAACTCGGAGTATGTTCGCCGCTCGTGATCCTAGTGCTGCCGCCATCGGAGGGCCATGTCCCTGATCAACAGCGCCGCGCGCTGCCCGACCCTGACCGCCTACGACTTGCGGTGGCGGCGGCACATGGGGCGCCAGCCCGGGTCCACGAGGCCGTGGGCCCCACCTGGGCCAGGGGCAAAGAGAGGGGACGAGGAAGAGTGATTCCTCTCTCTCTCTCTCTCTCTACCTATATAGATCTAGAGAGAGAGAGAGAGAGAGAGAGAGAGAGAGAGAAAGAGAGGCAGAGAGAGAGAGAGAGAGGCAGAGAGAGAGAGAGAGGAGGAGAGACAGAGAGAGAGAGAGAGACAGAAAGAGAGAGAGAGAGAGAGAGAGACAGAGAGATAGACAGAGAGAGTGCTTACGAGAACTGCGCGCGCGCCTCCCGCCCCCCCAGCGGGATTGAGTGGGGTGGGGCGCTCCTGCGCGCGCTTCGCGATGCCCGTGGCCCAACCCCCCCCTACCCTGCCCTGGCTGCGCCCGAGAGTGAGCTCCTTCGTTAAAAGCGACCACCCACGCAGCCCCAATTTAACATGGGTGTACTGGCGTCACATCCACGGTAATGAGTATCGCATCGTCGTCCCGCGATAAAAATATCGAGCCAAGACCCAGTGACACTGCGTCGAACGCGCGTCGCGCCACGCGCGGTGGCACAGTAGCGCAGCTTCGACGACGAATTTGTTCGAGCTCGGGTCGGCGCGCGGCGCCATGCAGACTACTGGTGCGCCGCGTCCGCGACTGGCTCGGCGACGAAATTGTCTGCGTTGGAGTTGGCGCGCGGCGCCAAACAGCTTGTTTGCTTGCCTGGGTAGCAGTCGCGCGCGGGCAGGCAAAGACTCGCGCGTCGCATGGGAGGCCACACCTTGGAACGCAATGTGTGGCGCTTGGGCGGGCTCGCGGCGCCAATCCGATTTCGTGCGCGATTGGCAAACGCTCGAGCACGCGCGGGGTAACTTCTCGTGTGGCGTCCGCAGCATTCTCGGCAAACGATGTTTGCGCGGCGGTCGGCGCCTCGCTGCGCGGCTGGTGACGTACCATTGCGAGCGGGCGTCCCTGCGGTTGCGTCGCAGCGGCGTCGCAAATGCAAGCCCTCGCTCCGCAACCACTTCGCTGGGGGGGCTGCATGGGGAGACGTCAGCTGCAGCCGTGTTGTTCGCGCTGGGGTCGGCGCGCGGCGCCAATCAACTTCCTTGCTTTCCTGGTTGACGCTCGCGCACGCCGGGGGCGACTTGCGCGTCGCATGGTCGGCTGAATCTTGGAACGAAAGACACTGCGCTGGGGTCGGCGCGCGGCGCCAATCCCATGTCTCGCGTTGAGGTCGGCGCGTGAAACGATGCCATCTGCAGTCGCCACGCAAACGCGATACGGGGTGGGGTGGGGGGCTGCATGAGAAGACGTGAGCAGAGAGTGCCGCGTGCGAGCGGCGCTCAGAAGCGGCCTCGGGCTGCGCCAGAGAGCGCCGCGTGTTAGCGGCGGGCACGCGTGGAACCGCCCTCGGAGCGCGCCAGAGTGCGCCGCGTGCGAGCGGGCACGCACGAGAGCGCCCTCAAGGCGCGCCAGAGTGCGCCGCGTGCGGGCGGGCACGCAAGGAAGTGCCTGCCTTCGGAGCGCGCCAGCATACGCCGCGTGTGGGCGGGCACGCACGGAATCGCCCTCGCGCCAAAGAGCGCCGAGCGGGCGCGCACGAGAGCGCCCGCGGGGCGTGCCAGAGCGCGCCGCGTGCGAGCGGGCACGTACAGGGGCACTTTCGGGGCGCGTCAGAGTGCGCCGCGTGCGAGCGGGCAGGCACGGAAGCGTTTTCAGGGCGCGCCCGTGCGCGCCGCGTGCGAGCGGGCGTGCGCGGGAGCGTCCTCGGGGCGCTCGGGACGGACGTGCTCGGGAGCACTTTCGGGGCGC